CCCTCTTGACCCTTTCCTACATGGTTTTTCATGTAGATTCTAAATATCTACTTATATTTAACAAAATAAATTTTCCTCTTCCAGTTTCAGCTTGACCGAACCCTTAGGGTTTAAAACTCAAAAAAGGCAACTTTGCTTCTATGGCTTCCAACACTTGTTCTTTAGGTTTACCCTACACCATTTTTCATTTTGAACACAATGGAAGCCTCAAAACTTTGAAAAACACATCCTAGGGTTCAGATCTTGTCTTGGCTGAAAATGACACTCAAGGAAGTAACCATGGAAAATGCTTCAAAACCAACTATAATCACTTGCAAACACTAGGATCTAGCTTGTGTTGTAGTATTTTAACAAGTGTGATGAGCAAAACTCCCTTTCCCCTTAAACAACCAGTTCGGCCAGCATCAAAAGAGGGAGAGAAGACATATTTTCAACCATAAAAGAGAAAGAAAACAAGGCAAGAACACATCTAGAGCCAAGAACTCACCTTGAACCTTGATTGTATGACCAAAATTGATGCCTTTCTCTTGGTTTTCCCTCAAAACTCTCTCTTTTTCCCTCTCTTCATGCCTTGCACGAAATTCCCATCTGATCTAGGGGAGAGATGAGCTCATCAATGCTATCAAAATATCCCATCTACCACAATTAATGAAGAGCCAAGTGTCATAAGCCTACTTAGTCTTGCATTTTCTCTTTAATTAACTTAATTCACATTGTAATTAAATTCTAAAGTCAAGATCCTCTCCCTTGGTAGCTTGACACTTGGAAAGCTCTAATTATCATCCATTAAAGGCTTGACAAGTGGTAGCTTATGGGCCAAGTAAAGTGCAAGGCTCTGATCAACACTTTATCAGTGCACTTTTACTTCGGGTTTAACTTCTTTTCTATAATTACAGTGCTCTGGCCTCTGTAATTATTTTCTCTCAGATCCATAAATTATTCTCCTTATTTTTATCTTCCCAAATTGCCCTCTTTGTCTCAAATTTAATTTCCCAATAATTAAATAAAAAGGAAAACTATTTTCCTTTTCTTTAGTGATTTTTCCACTCTTCCAAAGAATTAGGAAAAATCCTGGATACTTGAGGGCCTTCTTTTAATTCCATAATCTCTTATATTTCCTTGGGATATCATAAGAATTTTCTTGAGATTTTATTCTCCTTCCAAATATTTATTTGGAATTTTCCAAATAAAAGACCTTAAACTAGCTTAAATCGCCCTTAAATTCTTTTATAATTTCTCTAAGGGCAAATTGGTCATAAAACTAATTTTATAATCCCATATAATTCTCAAGGAATATTGCCCTTATTTTTTCTTAATTTTCTGAGGCTTGGAAATATTTTCCATAATTATTCTTGACCAATTTTCCTTAATTAGTCAAACTTTCATAATTGGCTTGGAAAATTATAATAATTATTTTCCACCAAAATTCTTCTATTTCTCCTTATCACTTTTGACCCTTAAATATTTAGAAATATCCTTATTCCTAGTTGTCATATTACTGGATGTGACAATGACACCTTAGGATTTTTGTCACCAAACTCTACTTGAAACAAGCTAAAACCATAGGCAAATAAAAGCTCTTACATACCTTGATAATTCTTAATCTTTGCTTGATAACTCCTTGATGATTTCAGTGTGTTCCTTGCCCTTTCAGTTGAGTTTTTCAGCAACAAAAACTTCCCTTTTAAGGTGCCAAAATGACCAAATTGAAGGGCATAGGAGGGGGTAAATATAGGCCATAATTTTGGCCTCCAAACCCTCCCACAAAAATCTACTGCTCTAAGCTTATGCGTCCACCTCCACATGCTGTGAAAATTTTGGACAAGCCAAGTGTCTCATGTAATTAAGTGTTTAGGATAAACCATGTGATAATTTTCCATTATTTTATTCCTTAATCATATGGGCCAATTAGGCTACAAAATTTCTGGACATTCCTGACCCAAAACCAAGCCCTATGGGTTGGAGAAAGAAGAAAGAAATGTTACTTTTCAATTCCTAACATTTCTCAACACGATTTTGCTGTATTGGCTAAAATTTCTGTCTAATTTTCAATAATAGTTTTGGACCTCTAAAAATTTATTTCTACCCATCATAAATCTTCTTTTAATATAGGAAGATTTATGGAATTTTTCTAGAATTTATTTCACTCTCTAACTAGCTGTATTGAAATTCCTCCAAAATCAAATTTTACTAATAAGATTTCGTTAATAATTATTCTAAAATTAATCCTTTCACCTGAGGAACTTGGAAATAATTTTATAATCTCAAATAAATCCTTAAATAATTTTCTCATATTTTTTTCAGAATTATTGAGATCTCTAAATATTTAAAATAAATTGTTTCCAGTCAATTTTTTATTATTTTACCGGAGAAACCTTTGTTTACAAAAAATTCTGTAATAAATCATTTTTATGCTAATGCCACTTCCAAGGTTCAAATATGGTGCCCAACTCTCTAATTTATTTTTCCTTGATTTTCTGAAATTTTTATCCAATTTTCCTATTTTGCCCTTCCTTGATCGATAATTTCAAAAATATCAGTCCGGTCAAGGAGTCGGATATTATCTCAAAAGTTGTTCCAATTTTAAATCTAATTTACTACTTGGCCCTCTATCTAATTCATTATTCACACTCTTAGAGCTAAAATTAGTAGGATGTGACAATATGAGACTATGGTTTCTTAATTAAGAATGAGCTTGAGATAAATATGATATCTATAAAGTACATGTATATAATTAAATACATGATTATAATTTGGTGAGTATTGTGTCGTGTCTGAAGTTTGCTTGTGTATGTTAGGATTTTAGTAGTTATTGAGACGTTAGATCGCATTTATTTATATTAACATTTTCATATGAGAAATCAAATAGGACACAAGAGAAGGTATCAGAGAGGTGAGCCTTAAAGGTTTTTTTGTGCTCCTTAAACATAGATTGTTATTATATTTAATTGTCATGACTCTAGTACTTTCTGTTTCTTATTTTGCAATTTAAATTATTTTAAGAACTCAAAGTGACACATTGAGTTATTTTGAATAATTTATTGTTGTCTTTTATTTGGGCTTGTGTCCTTGGGATGGTATCCTTAAGCCTTTATTAGGTTTGGCTAACTAAATACCAAGTATTATCGATTGAATTTGAAGGGGGTGTTACATTTGACCCTTTGGAGGTGATGAATTAAAATAGCCAAGCAAAAAAATAAACTTTGACAAGGCAAATGTAATAAGAAAAACTAGCTAATATAAGAAAAATAATTAATTAAAACGGTCTACTTTTTAGATATGCTATAAAAAATATAGCCGGTTGAAGACGTGGGTTTTTTTTTAAAATAAAATTTTCAAGAAATACACCAATTGAAATGTAAAAAGTAACGTTCAATGAACGGCTCTTTGAGAAGAATGAGTCTTTCTCTGGCGGAGTTTCCAGCATTGAGGGCGACGGATTGTCGATCAGAGGAGGAAGGGGATTTATTGCAAAGAAGCACAAAGAGAATTAAGGCAAGGGAGTTCGGGGAGGAGGCTATGGGTGATCATCGCAGATCGTTTTCTGACACCCTTAAAGGAGCTCGTTCGCGGAATGGGGTGGACCAAGGAATGCTAAACCAGGAGGAGAATGATCTTGATTTTGGAGCGATGAAAGCTCACATTACCATCGTGAAACATCAGCGAGGTAAATTTTTGGTGCCTGAATTTGTTCTCTCAACGGAGGCCCTGCAAAAAATCAGGAAACCTTTCAAGCAGAGTTTAATTGTTAAATTACTGGGAAGGAAATTGGGGCTGGCTCGTATGGAACAAAGAATTCAAAAAATGTGGGCTAAGTCTGGAACGGTATCTGTGGTAGACCTATCAAATGATTTCTTTGTAGTTAATTTTACCTCGATTGAAGACTATGAGTTGGCGCTATTGGGGGGACCATGGATGATCTTGGATTGCTACCTCACTGTTAGACAGTGGTGCCCAAATTTTGACCCTAAGGTTGAGGCGATTGAGGAGGCTATTATTTGGGTTAGATTTCCTGATCTTCCACTTGAGTACTACGATGAAGGTATATTAGAGGCTATGGGAAATGAAATCGGGCAAACAATCAAAGTAGATATGTCAACTGCTTTGCAGGCAAGAGGAGGTTATGCTAGAGTGGGAATCCAAGTGGATCTGAGGAAACCCCTAGTACCCTCCTACATTATTGATGGAAAGGAAAGGGTTATAATGTATGAGGGCTTACATTTGCTATGTTTTTGTTGTGGAATGTATGGTCATACAGAAAAGGAGTGTAAGAAGAAGGATGTGGTGGATTTAGAAGGGAATAAGGAGATGCGCAAAAATGAGGAAGGGAAGGAGGAGTATGTTTTTGGGGAATGGTCTAAGGTGCAAAACAGAAGAGGAACTCGCCGTTCATATCAGGGGAAGGCTAACTCTTCTGGGCTTCAAAAAGATGAAGGGAAAGGATCTCGTTTTGCTAACTTGATGGTGGAAGAAGAGAATGGGCAAAAAGAGAATGTTGGGGTTGCTATGGTTGTATCTAAAGGTGATCTGAAGGAGAAAGTCTGGTACAAAAAAAGAATGCAAGGGACACAAGGGAGAGACTTACAGATTTCTTCTGCTATTGTTCCTGTTGAACAGATCCCTAGGGAACCTACAAGTAGCTTGAAGAAAGGCGCTGTATTATCTCAGGGGCATTCTAGTGCTATGAAGCGAAGTAATTTTGATGAACAGAGCAATTTTGACAATAGAGATGAGCTACTTGTTAACATAGACAGAGATTGTGCACAGGAAATGGATGTGAATGTAGTTTATGAAACTCCTGAAATTGCAAAGGAATTGTTGAGAGTGAGAGCAGGGTCGGCAGGTAGACCTCCTGATCTAGGGAAGTCTAGTAGTAATTGTATAGAAGATAACTATGGGTTAGTTGAGGTCGGTAAGGAAGGGCCTAATGGGTGTATGAGTATTGATTGATCTGAAGCTTGTTTCTTTCTTGTTATATGATGATGATGAATATTAAAATCATGACCTGGAATTGTAGGGGAGTAGGAAGTAAGAAGTTTGAGAGAGGTCTTCGCTTCTTAATTCAAGAAAGAAATCCTGATGTCATTGGCCTTCTTGAAACAAGAGTAAACTTTGCTAGAGCTGGTGAAATCTTTCAGAAACTTGGGTTCAAAACTTGGGTGGCAGTCCCAGGAATGGGTTTCTCTGGAGGTATTTGGGTGGCTTGGAGGGATGAAGTAGGGTGTTTTGTGGAGAAGGAGAATGCCCAGTATGTTCATTTAAGATTCAGTGGTCAAGGGCAGAAAGATTGGCTGGCTACCATTGCTTATGTTTGTCCCCGAGATAAAGAGAAACAACATTTCTGGGATGATATGGCACAGTTTGCACAAATTACTCAGGAACCATGGGTTCTTCTAGGGGATTTGAATGACATAATGGCGGAAAATGAGAAGAAGGGGGGAGCTCCTTGTAATTCCCGAAGGTGTGAATTATTTGCAGAAAGAGTTAGCAACTGTAACCTATTGGATTTGGGCGCTTCGGGCAACAGATTTACTTGGAAAGGGCCTCTTATACCTGGTTATGAGAGGGTGTATGAGAGACTGGACAGGGGACTATGTAATCCTAGTTGGAGATGTCTCTTTCAAAATGCTGTTGTGAAAAATCTTACTAGATTAAGCTGCTCAGATCATAATCCGCTACTTCTTTGTTCTAATGATAGCGGGTATGGTTTTGGTCCAAGACCATTTAGATTTGAAGCAATGTGGTTGATGCATTCGGAGTTTGATGCCATGTTGAAAGGTTGCTGGAAAGGGGAAGGGGGTTTGAAGAATAGATTGATGAATCTTCAACCTAATTTGCTACAATGGAATAAGGAGGTGTTTCAACATATTCAGAATAGAAAGAGGAAGTTATTGGCGAGAATAGATGGGATTCAAAGGAAGATCAGTAATTTTAATAGACCAAGTTGGGCTCTTATTAATCTTGAGGCTGACTTACAAAAAGAGCTCGAAGAGGTTCTTCATCAGGAAGAAGTCCTTTGGTACCAGAAATCTAGAGGGCAATGGGTGAATGATGGAGATAGGAATACAAAGTTTTATCATATTCGAACAGTGTCTAGGCGAAGGAGGAACAAAATAGTGATGCTGCGTGATGTAAATGGAGATTGGGTGGAAGATCAAGTGGCCCTGAGACAAATGGCAAAAGATTTCTATGTTGATCTTTACTCTGAGTTCCATGAAGAGACGGTGCAGGAGAAAAGTTTGTTTGACAATTGCACTGTTTCTTTTCCCTCCTTACAGACAGAAGAGTTGTGTAGTATGAACAGAGAAATTACTAAGGAGGAAATAAAAGATGCTATCTTTTCTATAGGAGCTTTTAAAGCACCTGGGGAAGATGGATTTCCGGCAGTCTTTTTTCAAAGAAAGTGGCACATAGTAGGAGAGGATGTGGTTAAATATGTCTTTCACCTGTGGCAGGACTTAGAAGACTTGAAAGAGATAAATAACACGTTATTAGTGTTAATCCCTAAAGTGGATAGACCTGATTCTTTGAAACAGATGAGACCATTGGATTATGTAATGTGATTTATAAATGTGTGACTAAGATGATTGTGAATCGAATGAAGGGAGTGTTGAATAAGGTGGTTGCCCCTAACCAAGTTAGTTTTGTTCCTGGACGCCATATTCAAGATAATATTGTGGTTGCTCAGGAAATTATTCATTCTATGAAACAAATGAGAGGGAGAAAGGGCTATTTTGCTATGAAAATAGACTTGGAAAAAGCCTATGATAGACTAAGATGGAGTTTTATTGATGAGATCCTGCAGGAGTTAGGTATTATGCAGAGTTTCCGAAATCTAATCTTGAAATGCATTACAACCGTGTCTATGAAAGTGGTGTGGAATGGAGAAAAGACTGAGACGTTTATGCCAACTAGAGGAATCAGGCAAGGAGACCCCCTATCCCCCTATATTTTCGTGTTAGCTATGGAGAAGTTGACCCATTTGATTCAATGGGCTACTAATAAGGGTCTGTGGAAAGCCTTTAATGTAGGACGAAATGGGCCTGAAATCTCACATCTAATGTTTGCGGATGATTTGATGTTATTTGGGGAAGCAACAGAAGAGCAGATTGGGGTTACGTTAAGTTGTTTGAAGAAGTTTGGTGATTTGTCAGGTCAGAAAGTAAATTTTCAGAAATCCGCTATTTTCTTCTCCAAGAATGTTCCTACAGAAACTAGGAGAACTTTGGTCGGTTTATCTGGATTTAAAGAAACTGAAGATTTGGGATTATACCTCGGCATTCCTTTGGATTATTCTGGTGGTAGAGGGAGAAAATTTAGATATGTGGTGGAAAAGGTTAAAAAGAGACTATCAGGGTGGAAGGCGAACTGCCTAAGTTTTGCTGGACGAGTCACTCTAACTAAGTCTGTGTTGGGAGCTATACCGACGTACCCCATGATGATAAATCTTCTACCTAAAGGTATTACTGAAGAACTAGAAAGATTACAGAGAGACTTTATCTGGGGGCATGGAGAAACTACTAGGAAGATTCATTTGGTGAGTTGGGAACAGATTCAAAAACCAAAGCAATACGGAGGTTTGGGGGTCTTAAACCTGGAATCTTTCAACAAGGCTTGCTTTCTGAAATTAGCTTGGAAACTGAGAAATGGAAGGGGAGGTTTATGGGGAGAAGTGTTGTTGCATAAATATAATTCTGGAAAGGAGCTCTCTTCAATCCTCCAAATCCCAAAGAGTGCCTCTGCCTTTTGGCGAGATATAGATGCAGTTTGGGAGACCCTCAATGAGAATTCTTGGAAAGGGGTCGTAGATGGAAAAACCACTTCTTTTTGGCTCGAACCATGGATCAACGAAGATATTCTTTTGATCAATCATTGCTCTCAAGAGATAGCTGAAGATTGTCTAGAATGGACGGTGGCAGATGTGGTAGACCGCAATGGTAACTGGAATTGGGAAAGAATCAGAGGCATTTTGAGCAGGGAAGCTTTAGAGAGAATTAGGGCAGTTCATCCTCCCCAAGGAAATAGCAAAGACCTATTGTTATGGAAAGGTGGGACTGGGGAATACTCAGTTAAGGAAGGCTATAGAAGAATAAGGGGAAACAAGCTTGGGGTAAAGGAGAGCTTTTGGAACCTAATTTGGAAATGGAGTGGACCAGAAAGAGTACGTTGTTTTCTCTGGCTCTTGCTCCTAGACAGATTACATACTAATGCACTTCGGTTAAGTAGATGGCGTGCTAAGGGCTCGTGTGAGAACTGTGGTAGATTGGAAACCTCCTTACATGCTATTAGGGATTGTCCATGGGCAAGGAAGGTGTGGTTAGAGATTCTTTGTAACAGCAATTACCAAAAAGGATTCTTTTCAGCAACACAAACTAATTGGGTAGTAAATAATCTTAAAGTCAAGCAGAAGGTTCAGGGTATACCTTGGTGTGTGATCTTTGGAACCACCTGTTGGAGCCTTTGGAGGCAACGGAATGAAAAAATATTCAAAGCCTCGAACCCTTGTAGCTCTTCGTTGGTTCGAAAAGTCTGGTCTTTAGCATTTGAATTTGCTAACGCGAAGGGAGTAATTGATAAATTGACAGAAGCTTCTTCTTGGAGTCCTGGGAGTTGGGTGCCACCGGAGCAAGGTTGGGTTAAGCTGAACTCAGATGGCTCATGCATGGGTGATCCTGGGCCGGCGAGTTGTGGGGGAGTGTTGAGAAATGCAAAAGGAGATTGGATCTGTGGTTTTGCTCAAAGTCTTGGAATTTGTAACGCTCTTGACGCGGAGAGTTGGGGTATCCTTAAAGGATTGGAGATTGCCTGGAATAAAGGTTTTAGGCAGATATGCGTGGAGACAGATTCGGCCATTTTGGCGAGGAAACTGAAAGGGAAGGAAGTGGGTTTGTCTACTGGGATACAAAGCAGAATTTTGAACCTGTTAGACAGGAACTAGAAAATTCAGATCTGCCATATTGATAGAGGTTTGAATGTTTGCGCTGATATATTGGCAAAAATGGGGAGAAACATGACAGGAGGTTGTCGAGTTTGGGATGATATCCCACTTGAAGTGAAAAGTCAGTTTGAACAAGATAAGGTGTCAGGATGTTGCAGAGAAGATATGAGTTCGGTGGCAGAGCGTGATGATATGAGGAATATGGACCCGGGTTGATTTTTATTATTTTGGTTTTCTGGGCCTGAGGCCTCTTTGTATTACCAAAAAAAAAAAAAAAAGTAACGTTCAATGTAAAAGGTGGGAACTTTTTGTTTCGGCCTTAACAGTGAGAACTTTTAAAACCAATTGTATCTATATTGGGTATGACTCTGGTATTAAAGGCCCATTTTAAGCAATCTAAAAGTCCTTAGTATATCATAGCATTGACTTCTATAAATGTACTGATTTAATTGCATTTATAGAACTTATCCAAATTTATATCATAGTATTGAGTTCTATAAATGTACTGATTTAATTGCATTCATACAAATTATCCAAATTACTTTAAGTGACTATTTCATTTAGTCATGAAAAACCATATATATAATGTCATTTGAGCATAAAAATTTCAGTTTTGCGCAGCGCATTGACCATAAGCTACAAGAGGGGTGTTGCTATATTGGGAAAAATTTTATTGGATGGGGTTTCAGCAACAAGAATTTCTCACATTTACTCTCCTTTCTCATAATATTATTCATTTTCATTTATTTTTTATTTGAAATATGGTGTATTTTATTTAAAATTTTCTACTTCACAAAAGTTTTTAAATTATTTTCAATAATGATTATCAAATGAAATTATATTTAAATATTAATGAAACTTATTAAATTATATTTAAAGGCAGATATGTTTCACCAATCCAAATAACTCTAATCTGGAACTGCTTATATTAATTGAGAATAAAAAAGTACTCTTCCGATGCTAGTTAACACTTAAAAATTCTAATAAATGTAATTTTTAATATTATGGGATCCCTCCCAAACATTTGTCATTATTAATGGACAGTGCACCAGAAACACATTTATCACAATAGGGTGATTAATAATTGTGCGGGAAACATACATATAATCTGAACTAATATTAAATTAGATACAAGATGGAGGGACAGTGCTATTATTTGATGTATCAAAATCAAGAGGCTGAATAAAGGTTGGTTGAGGGGCTGAATTAGTATAATTATAGCATTTATATTTCATAAAGGCTTCATTGTATATGCATGCACCTTGTTGTGAAACTGCCCACTCACATGTTGTGCACCATTGATCTCGTCTCTCTTCATATATGTCAAAGTAGTGAAGTGAAGGATCTGATGCCCACCTAAAACTGCAGAAGAACAACGTTACGTCCACAATAGCGTTTGGCCTGAAGTGGAATTCGAAGCTATCTCCTACTTTGATAGTGTGCTCTCCAATATCATCGTCTTTGGATTTGCAATGAACAGTAACATCCTGAGGTGGATCAAAATTATTGATGATTCGTACTGTTACCTTTGGAGGAATCAATACCCATGGCTTCCCATCGTTCAATGTTGCAGCAATTACCATAAGCAATAAAAGCACAGACTTCATATCTGTAGCCATGATGGTGCGCCTGCTTTTCAGTTTATATGATTTGACAAGTTCATATCCCACATACTTCTTATTTACATGTGAGGAACGCGGATCCTCATTTTCTCTTAACTGTTATTATGATTTTACATGAAAAAAGCATAAATAAGTTTAAGGTATTAATTTTGATATAAATAGTTCACAACTATATAAAGTATTGTTAAAATAGATTTCTTTTAAAGAAAACATTTCATTGCACTGTGACCAAACTGGATTTTAACCATTTATTAATGTATTTTTTATATAAAATCATAATAATAATTTTATCAAATATTAAACCTGGACTATTGAAATTTTGATTCATTGATGACGAAGGAAAAGGAAAAGGCGCCGAAAGAGGGAAGGGAAAATGAGACACCACATTCCCTTAAAATAGGGATATAGTTTTAAACCTTTAATTTACTTGTTATCTCCATCTCAAATAACATTAATTGCACTGCCGTATTGCAAAACATTTATCGCCTCAATAATGATACGAGCTTTGACCTATCTCATCTTTTTATCTTATGTGGATTCAGTGCTTTTAATGTGTAATTTAAGGCATTAATAAATACTAGATTTTAAATTTTAAGTCTTTAATGTAAGAGCTACTTAAAATTCATTAAGTTAGGTATTTGTAATAGATAGAATTTGATTTTTTTTAAAGTATCCTTTTAATCATGACGAAACCATTTAATATGTGTAATCAATAGGGATATTTTAGATAATAAATTATAAATTTTGGAGATAAAGTGAATTGAAATCTTATACTTAAGACCAAATTCAAATTCTAACTAATTTTTATATTAAAAATCGGTAGTACACAAGTATTAATGCGCCTACAAGCCATCTTATTCAATGGAATTCAATTCAACCTATTGTTTTCAAACTTCTCTTATTTAATTTTGTTTTTATTTGTGCATAATATTTTGGGAGTTGATCCGGACTGAATGGTGAGAAGAATGGCTCGTCTCACATGGTTAAATCATTCAAGAACTTAGACCACGTTGGGCCGCCAAGAATTGGCTTTTGAGCTGTGAGTTGGATCTAACCACGAATTAAGACGGACCTCAAAGAGCGATCAAGTCCTACACATAACGTATAAGAAGATCAAAGAAAAGATAAAGAATGAGGATGAAAAAGAAGTGAAGGATAGAAGATGAAGATTAAAAGGGGGAACGTAACATATGCCACAAAAAAGCCGATTCTTATTTCCTTTTTTTTTTTTGTGATATTCATTGAAGAAGAGGAAACAAACTCTTATCTGTGGGCCAAAGCTAGTTCTTCTCTTGAGATGAAATCAGAATTGTTGTTTGAGTCTTCTCCGTTGGGTGGGACTGATCCACCCTTAGGTAATTAGGCCCAAGTCCATTGTCTATGGGGCATAAGTAAACATCACAAAAATATTTGTGCTTAGTTGTGATATTTCCCAAGCCAATTTAAATAACATGGAGGGGGGGGCAAAAAAAACATGGAGGGAACAGGTTTTTACTGATCGTCGAATACAAGAATAGGAAGTTAGGGGAATACAGATATAATCGAACACGTTGGGGAAACTTCCATCTGACTATGAGATATTGAAAAACTCAGTTTCCCCTTTTTTTTTTTTCTTTTTCTTTTTTCTCTTCTCTTTCTCTTCTGATATTACACTAGCTGTGTGTCAAGATCTGATCCGTCATTGTGACTAGGTTGGGTGTGGGTATTTCAACCAAACAATCACACTCCAAGTATCTCCTCAAATCTCATTGTGATATTAGAGCTCTCAATGGTCCTGAGACTACACTTTTCTTTCATTTTTCCGCCTCTAGGTATTATGCACATGACTAGTAGCTACATGTTTCTTTTGCTTTTTATATTTTTGCCCTAGTTGCTTTATTCCTGTTTAAATATTCTAAGATATACTAAGATGAGATTTGCTTTACATTATTCCAGCAAATCCTTATATATTGCCTTTACTTCTAGTTATTCATAATGACTTACATTTGGTCATTTACTTGAATTGGTTTTTCGGTTATCTCTTTTTTCCCTTGTTTTTGTGTTTGCCGATGTACTTTTAGTTAGGGCTGAGCAGGCAACTCGCAACCCGCTATATCCGCCCACAACCCATGAAAATTTTACCCGTTTAGACCCATCCAAAAAACATGTAAAACGGGCGGGCTAATTAAATAAACAGGCGGGCTACGGACATACCCCCGGGCTGCCCATGCCCGCCCATATATTTTTGTAGTTGTTATGTGTATTTTTTTTATTATAATATAATGTTTTTGGCAGTTATAAAACACATGTAGCCTTTGGTTTAGTGGTTTAATATTTTGCCCACCAAAGTAATGTTTACTCCTAACTTTTAACTACTTTTTTTTTAGTTTTTATAATAAATTTTAAAACTCAAAAGCTAGATGTAGATGGAACCCTCGTCTTCTTAGTTCTTTGTTCCTCTGAACCGTCGCCCTTTTTTTTTCCCTCTAACTATTTCCACGCATCTCCATTTTTGCCGCCACCTTCCTCTTCCACCTGTTTTTATCTTCTTTGTCTCTCTCACACTGCCATTACAAGCTCCTCTTTCATCACTGCTAAGCCCCCTCAGCTTAACCTTTGATCTTCGCCAAGCGACGAGCGATGGGCGATGGGCGACAGCAATTAATCAACCACTCTCATGGCTCACTTGATTCGGATCTATGTATTTCTACTTGTAATAGTTATTGTCGATGGGTCTAAGATTTTTGTGATTTTTGCTATGAGATTTTTGTGTCCTTCTTCATCCTCCTTCGTATTCTTCTTCAATCTATCACCTGCAAAAAAATTTTCCCAGCTACTCTTGTTGAATCTTTTCTCTTTTTGCCAAGTTGCTGTTGAATCTAAATCTTTTGATTATTATTATTATAGTTTGAATTGTTAGACTTTGATTCACGACCTCTTGTTGCTGCTTTTTCTAACACTTGCTTCTAATTTTGCATCTGAAAATTCCTCTTTTTTTTTTCTATGGCGGGATGTGAAAACAAGTTACTCACAACCCGTTGCAACCCCCCCGGTGTTAGCACAACCCATTTAATCTAGGCTTAAATGGGTTTTCAACGGGTGCGGGCTAGCTCGTACCCGTTTAAGGGTAAATAGGCGAGCTACGGGTTAATTCCCAGGCTACCTAACCCAGCTGTTACTCACCCTTACTTTTAGTTATATAAATAACAAATGATGTGAAATGGGTGTTTCAAAGGAAAAATCTTATAAAAGTACTCTCAAAATTTGCAAAACCCAAATCAGTTACTTTAATTATACCAATCTCATATCAAGCTATAAGTATTAAATTGGGATTTTGGAATGTTGTTAATTTACCACCATGCCCTCTAGCTAAGTCTTTCCGCTTCTATTCTTTTTTAGATTTTGCTCTCCCCTCCCCACTCTCTCTCCCCGTCTCCCACAACAACCTCACCCTCAGCTCTATACCCATCGGATTAAGTCTCTCCCCTCAATCTTTCTCTCTCCCTCTCCCCTCTTCCTTTTGTCATTCCTTCACCCATAGTTGGCGATGGCACAGATCTGAAGAAGAGGACCTAGACCTCATCTGCGTCAAAACTTCAAAGCCCACATTATCAAAAACAAAGGCAAAAGTAGAACGATGATGAGCTCTTTTGGCTCCTAAATGGTGGAACTCATTCATATCGGCGTAAGGGTCCTGAAGCTGCATGTAACAGTCAATCATAACTTGAGCTTGCTACTTACAGTTACTCTTGAACATGGCTTCATTTCAGTTGAAATCCATGGCTTTCTTCTTCTATGGTTGCTCCTCATCATCTTCATCATCCGATAGAAGCAATGAACTAAAAATATCCATCCCCTTTGTTATTCATGCTAGAATTGGAATCTATCTCAAAATACAAGTTCTAGAAATGTGAATAATCATCTTGATGATTAAGAAATAGGTTGATGATTAAGAAATAGGAAGAAGCGTCTAATTTTTATAAAGATTAATCAGTATTTATTGTTTCTGGGTTGGCCTGAGCTGTGTGAATTATTAGGATGATGAAAAAATATATATATATATATAGAGAGAGAGAGAGAGAAGGAAGTAAGTGCACAAATCTGAATGCCTTGTTGAAGATGGTGTAGTTTGATTGATAGAGACTTTGACTAATTTTTTGTGACAAAAAAAATAGGGTTGAAGCTTTGAAGTTGGTTGAACAAAGAAAAACAAAACAAAGGCAACAAAGTGGTAGCACTTGTCCAAGTAGTGAGCAAGATTGTTGCTAGTTGGATTTATGTAATGACAATGTATGAATTATTTGTTTCCTATTTTATCGAACTTTTTGACAATCATGTAGTATCTTATCTGGTGGTTACTTATACTCAGAAGACACCAATTGCATAATATTTATTGGTTAACAACACTTTTATATGTATTCACTACAAGTAATGTGGAAAATTCATAATTGGGCATGTTGATTGTCATCATATAAATAGATTAACAATTTTGTTAGGCCCGTTGACGACTTTTTCAAATCGATTAACAATGATTTTGTATTTATTGAAAATAAATAATCATGAAAATTCATTGCAACTTTGTTAGGTGTATTAACTCTTTCAAATCGATCAACAATACTTTTATATGTATTGACAACAAGTAATAAAAAAATTCATTACAACTTTGTTAGGCGCGTTGCCAACTCTTTCAAATAAATTAACAATACTTTGATATGTATTGACAATAAATAATTAGAGAAATTTATTATAGGGTAAACCAATTAGTAAACCTAGGCAAATCACATATTGCCAACTGATTAGGACCGTTGATAACTCTTTCAAATATATTGACAATAATTTTATATATATTGACAATAAGTAATCAACAAAATTCATTATAGGCCAAACCAATTGAGAAATTTAGATAGATTACATGTTGCCTCTTCGTTAAGCATGTATGATAACTATTTCATATCAATTGACAACACTTTTATATAAATGAACTATACTAACTTATTTTCTGTATTGTCTTTTCCTTT